TATACACATATATATATATATATATATATACATATATATATATATATATACACATGCATATACACATATATATATATATATATATATATATATATATATATACATATACATACGTTGGCGGTTTAGTTAAGATCCGTACTTACACGTGTTATATCATCTTGTATACGTAACATGTTCCCTCGCATCGCCGTCGAATAAAAAGAAATAAATATGGATTTTTTGGGAAAGAGAGAAAGAGAAAGAGAGAGAGAGAGAGAGAGAGAGAGAGGGGCAATTTCGCGACGAGAAAGTCACATCTAAAGATCCTCGCGTCCCGAGTGCACTGCTATTGTCCTAATAATGCAGTCGGACTTATAATTCACCTAATCGACCGATGTATTAATCACGGTACAACAGTCTCTTATACGCTTTCGATCCACTATCGGCGCTACGTGAGCGAGCGAGCGGGCATCGACCCCGCGAGAATATAAGATTAATATATAAACGGCGGAATTTATTTTCCATTGTTGTGATGCTCGACATCGAATCTTATCGGGGTGGACGGGACATTTTTATATCACACACACGTCGTCGCCGCGCATCGACATACCGTGCGCGTTTCATGAGAAAAAAAATGAAAAAAAAGAAGAAGAAAGAAAGTCCTCGATAAGTGTCCTATCGGAGAGCGATCGCACAGCAGCTGCTGCTAGCTATATAGTTGTTAAGTGATATCGCTGTAGAAAGCATGCTCTAGAACGTAAGGAGAATCGATCGGTGGGAGCTGACGAGCTGACTCCCGCGCTGCGGGGCGAACCATACAATTTTTAATGTTATTCACGTTAGGCCTATGTACATATACATGTAATAAGCTAACGACGAGTGAGAGTTATATATTTTCCCTTCCTCCTGTTTATCTCGTGTCTCAATCATGCATACACGCCGTGTTTTAACGATGATATCGTACCTGTAAATAAAGCCATCGGAGTGAAGTCTCCCTCTTTCTCTGCATTACACACTATGCGAAGCGAAAAATGCTGGAGTCCTGTAGTCCTGACATTAAATCTCTGTACATATTTAACTGCTGTTTTCATTTCGACCTTCTTTCTAGTTCCTTCTTTGTAGGAATAGTTTGAAAACGGTGTTGTAGGTAAAAATAAAACGCAAAGTTTCCAGGATATCCTGTGTGATACGAATCAAAGGCTAATCTTTGCTTTCATCATTTCGAGGAAAGTGTCAAATCTTCCTCGTTTGTGTCAATTAAATAATTAGAATTTTATTATAATTATTTAATGTTACATATATTGTAATGTACGTGCCTTTTTTTGTTACATTGTAGTGTAATATATTCTGTGAGTTTTGTTACGAGTAATTTTCATTCGTGGATTTTATATTTATGTTATATGTGAGATTTTGCTTATACACATACGCAACTATGTGCTTCATTATAATCACGCTCGTGTTGACTCTTGATGACGATGTTTGTGACGTCGCCGTGACAAAAGTTGTTGGGTAGATAATGGTATAACTTCGCAAATAAAAGGCAACGACATGTGACAGGGTGCGACCTCCCAGGTGGGCGACATATCCTTAGATGAGCCTAGGAGGACGACGCAGCCTTTGGAATGCGACGGTTGTCCTTCGCCCCATGCTCGATAATCGAAACATGACAGCGGTTCGCCTGTTAGGAAATATATTTTCTCTATTTTTTCTATCGCAAATATAGACATAGAGACTGAAATTATACATTCTGAGAGAATATCACGGGAATTTTTTTGTAGAATTTACTATAAAAACGTGTAGTAAATAAAGATGGAAAAGAAGTTGCGAGTACCGAAATCGTTCTTCCAAATCCTTTCCTTATCATTATTGCTAAGGCCCACATATCTAGGAAGAGTCGATGAAACAAACTTCGCCAAGCCTTCTGTCCGTTCCTCGCTGATCACATGCGCGAGTGTCGCGTTCTTTTCTCGACAGAAAGTCCGAGCTTGCGTGTAATTCAAACTCTCGGAGGAGAACAAGAATATTCCTGCCTTGGGAATGCATTCCACCGTGGTGTTTTCTGGAAATAATCTTCGTTACGTGATACAAAACATTAATGGTTTGCCTGATACATTATTGAAACTTTCTATTAAAAAAGTAGAGGTCTTCCTGATCCACCTTAAAGTCACATTATTTGAAGATAAAAGGTCTTTTGATGTATAGTTTAGTTGTGTTTTGAAAACTATGCTTAACTTATCGTTGAGTCATATTACGACCTCAATTTGTCGATAAAAATAGTGGCGACTCGTAGTGGTGACTTTTGAACTAATAAAAATTAAAAAAATAAAATAGCCGAGACTCAAACCTCTTAATTTAGTTAAGACACGAACCTTGATTTAGTCGAGACTTAAACCCATCGAGCATTTAGATTCTTTCTTGACGTTAGATAGCATAACAATTCGTTAGTCATTTTTCGTCGGATTTAGCGGAACAGTTGTTATATTACAAAATGCAGTACAACTTTACGACAGATAGAATGAATTTTGAAATTTCATTATTTAACAATATGGCCAAATCTCTGATGAGTTTTTCATTATTTATTAAAGAGAAATAAAGGGAGGCTCTGATTGATAAAATAAAATCGTGATTGACCTGTTTGCGACTGACAAGTGCGATTCTTTTCAAAACAAAGTTTAATTTATATTTTCGACATTATTTAATAGAACTACGAAAAAACAGATAATAAGAAAAGATCAAACATACATGCTAATTAGCAAAATTATGAATTTCGAGCCAATGTTCACACGTGCTTTTGACGGCCCGATAATCGCGACTGCAATTACCTGGTGGAACAAGGACTGGATACATGCTGTAATAATTATGATTCGCCACGGGCACGAGAGTGGTCATGTTATGATCTTCCGGGCACTGAAGAGCTTGGCACGTGATTTCGTGTCCCCCTGTTTTTCACGAGGAAACCGCGCGTCATCGCAGGATACACCGGATGGAGAAATTACAAACATACACGGATTAATTACACTAATTGAATACGATAATTATATGGTGCTTTACGGCGCGCTCACGGCGCCGCGTGTTATACCTTACCGCAATTACGGGAGAAGTATTCGAGGTATCGCGTAAAATTTATCGTAATTATACTTCACGTAATTACATCTAATTGTTCGCTATTCGCATACCGTCACGATCCCTCGCGGAAACAAAATTGAAGGCGAGGGCCTTCTTCGACGCGGCGAATTTCTCGCACTCGCTCACGTTGGAAACCACTTTGCGCGATATAATCGGCTGCTTCGAGCGTGAATTGTTCTTTATTAGCTCGTATTGCGGTAGCTCGTGGTTATTCATCTCGCAGCAACGATCACAGATGCTTGAGCGTGCCGCACTCATGATCAGTAAAAACGACGATAAGATAACGATCAGCATTCCGTGAAACGAATCTTCGATTTTGAGAACACAATTAGCGCAATTTCGAGGCGCAATGCACGCTACGCGACTCGCGACTGACTCTTTTTCCCGACGACAGAAACGAATGTTACGCATATCTGCGAATTCGGAAGCGCATATCAATCAGACCGACAAGTTAATTGTGTGATTATGTTTAAAGTTGTGAGTTCAATAGAGGGCAGGATACAAATGTCGTAACTGAATCTTGATATTTTTTAAATCTCATTCATTTTTACATACAAGTAAATTTTGTCACCACGACTGTATTACAATATATTTGCTATCGAATTTTCTGTAGAATGAGTAGAAAGACGTTTGCTCAAGTTGAACATATACCGAGTCAAGGAACAATAAGTAGACAGCGAACGCATTATATATTTGCTACTTCTCGCATAAACTTTCTTTGATAAACTACATCGTGACCAAACCGATTCATCGACCACCAAATGTGAGTAAAACGTTTCGTTCGGATTCGTTGAGGTATACATATTTTATTTTAATTGTAAAACGGAAGTTTACATTCGTTGTTCGTTCGTTATATTGTACATTTAGCTAGTATATACCCAGCTTTGCAAGATGTCCGAAATTTATTTGAAATATCAGTGATAAAACAATGTATTACAAAGGCGATAATTACATAGCGATAAATATACTATATACATTGCAGCAAATATCCGTAAACGACACGACGCGCAATCATACGCAAAGCAAGTCCATAGCTCACGCGTTTACGCCTCAAATTTACGTTATATGGCATATTGATTATTCAACATTGGAAGTTTCACCTTTTCTATCGACCTTTCAACTCCTGAATGTCAGGTCTTTTGTGCGTGCCGTCGCAAAAAGGTCTGTTCGACGTTTGCTTGCAGTTGCATAGCCAATACTCTTTGGTCTCCGTGACGGTAAAACGTATGGGTTTCTGCTTGATCTTGAGATAAATGTTCTTGTGCGTGCCGTCGCACAGTGGCTGGCCTTTGCTTTGGCCGCAGAGACACCACGAATAAGTCTTGCCTTCCACAAGTCGTAACTTGAATGGTTTCTTATCGTATATCACTCCATTAACGGTCTGACTATTGGCACTGTATATCTCCTTCAGCGGGTTTGTGGGAATTGGCGGTTCATCGGTTTTTGTGCAGAAGTTGGAAATCTAGAAACGACAGCGCATTGTCGAGTTAAAGTATCAAAATAGAATAACAATCAGTTGGTAAATGTCTGCTTCAAAACTGAAGTTTGCTGCGTTATTTTACGGACGTGTGAAATATTTTATTTTTTCATTTCTATTTCTAACTCGGAATTATTTTAAATTTCAAACTTTGATCAAATTTGTAATGCAAGTTTTAGTCAAATCGTTTCGTTTTTTATGTGACATTATGTTATCAGATTTCTTATTTTTCAGATTTATTTTTTCTGTTTGTTTCATCTGCATGTTCTTTTTTACGTCTACTAAAATGTTTTCTTATAAATAAAAATTATTATTATTATTGTTGTTATTATTATTCTTTATATCATTTATGTTTTATCTATATATTTATCTATACATAATATATTTATTAATTTACTTTAATTTTTATCTATATAATCTAAAGGATGTTTTCCTTTTAATAAATATATATTAATATTATTATCATTAAATTTCACAAAATTGTATATGAAGAGATCCGTATATTAAACCATTTGATTTTATTAACTTTTCCACGTATCAAAATGTGCCGGCTTTTTCCCCGATAGCAGATGCAACATCAGCAAACTAACTATCACTACCATTATCCACTGTGATTAACGAGACTTTCTCTATATATAACAAGGTCACGGATTTCGAAGCAGTTCGTTAATTAGTCGAGCCTTTCGATCGATCCCCCCCGCGATGAAGACATCATATTACATATTTGTAACAAAAATTTATTAATTGTCCCATTTACGAGCGAGGATACTCTTCTTTCTCAGTTTGATAACCTTATATCATCGAGTTTTCAGCTTTCCCTGAGGTTATTTATGCTATGTAGCATGTATTATTCTTTTCTGTTAATCTGTAAAATAAATGCTTCTTCACGTCTCCTTTCCCATTTCATTTATATATCTGTTTACCTATCTTTTTTAAAGAAACTGACACACTGTTAAAACTGTTCTCCAATCTCTACTTTATATTATTCTGTCTTATATTACATACAATTCTTCTTTCCCCTTTTTCTATTTTTCTAAATAACATTACATAAATAACATAAATCCTTAACATAAATTTTCTTTTCTCTTTATAACTTCTACAATTAGATTACATGATTTATATCTTTCATCTCCGCTCCAGAGTCACATTTCATTAGGTTTGTTTTTTTTTAGCTGAACTGTCTAAACTGGTAAACTGGTATATTGGTGCAACAAGTTAGAGTGAGCCAAATATATTTTGTTTCATTCTAATTTACTGTACCAGTTTAGGTAGTTCAGCTAAAAAGAACAGAACCTGTTGTATCAATAAACCCCTTGCGTCTGAGTAACTCATTTTTAATTTATGTGCTACTCACCATTGTACTAAATTCATCGCTTTTTTCCCACAAAAACATGTTGTGACTGTTGTATTTCTTTATCAAAGAATTTTCTCAAGAGTATTCCTTTCTTTGTCATGCTCTTTCTTTTATATTCTACTATGCGAGGATATCTTTATTGTTTATAGGTTAGGACGAAGTCAAGTTATAAGATGACGGACAAGTCACAAAACAAAAGCTCGCGTTCAATTCTATTGATTGTGACTTACGTTCTGACGATGGCGGGTGCCCAGACAAGCGAGCCGCGGTAGTCGATTTAATAAGTTCATTCCGTTAAATTGCCGATTACGTTCCTACACCACAACTGACGATGGATTGCGCTAAACTGCAGCGAAAGATCCACGCGAAACAGCTGATGCGCCACTGCTGCCAACTGTGCGCATGACTCCGTCCTCATTGATGTGTAGTGTTACCAGAAAGAAGCATGAGAGCGGCCACCAGTCGGATTTCAATGACCAGAACCAGTGGCGTAGCCAGAGGGGGGCTGAGGAGGCTGCAGCCTCCCCCGAAATTAATTTTCTGGGTTACGCTAAGTGTGAGAAAGATTTTTTCGAATGACCTTTTTTGCTCGTCAAAAATAAAAAGTGCAGCCCCCCGAAATTTTTTTCTGGGTATGTCACTGACCAAAGCTAGATGCATTTTCAAGACACCATCTAACAAAGTGCGCCTTTACTACGTTCGTTAGATGCATTTTCGCGGTGGTAACGATAAAATGCGCTTGGATCAAACCCGTTGTACTTCCGTACAATAATAGTAAGTTAGAAAAGGATAGACGTCCAATCGCTCTATTTTTATTTCACCATTGATGAGCAGATAGTGCGACGATACACTTCGGTTCGAATTCCGGCTTAAGGGGATGCTGGAGTGGACGACAAACTTGCTAAGCGTCGATAACGTAGAGGCGATTAAAACGATTCAAAACGTAGAAAACGTTATTTTTATTTACCGATATACACTAGGATTCATAAATACCTTTACACTTCTGGTATCTAGAGAATTGGACTTTTCGATTTGGTGCATCGAAGTGTAAAGGCATTTATGAATCCTAGTTTGTTGTTGATAACAGTGTCCCTTAAAAATGGCTTATATCAATCAGAAGGCTTATGAGCTACTTTCATACGGGTGCTTTTATAAAAAAAAAAAAGCTCAGAATATAAATCTATGAAGATAAAAGCAGAATTGTACATAGAGATGAGTTTTCGTACGCGAATTTTCGTTTTGCATATATATATCTTTCATTTTTAACTATTCACTTTTTCCCACCCATAGTTTGAGTGGCGTGATTAATATACGTTTAGATTTATTCACGCGTATATTAGATTTATTCACGTCATATATTATTTCTTCTCCCCAAAAGTGATTTCACTCTCATTAAAATTTAATTTGTCGTCTTGTCAAAACGTATGCATAAGAAGATATCTCTGAAGAGATAGTATATCGTATATAATCCGACACAACAAGTTATAAAATATAATCACATAGTATAGCCGAGTCGAAATTGGTCATTGTTATACAAGAATAATCCAATTAAAAAAATGATAAGTTTTTATCAATGGATACTCCATTCACATCTTTTTAAACCAAACAAAAAAATTCCAACCTTATAGATGCTTGAAATGAGTTAAGAAACAGTTTTTTAATTTTTACCAGTCACATCTTTTTGCACATTTTTCTAAGGATTGAGCTAGTCAGTACTCTTAAAGAAATAGAAATGCTTGAATTACTGTGAAACTCTCAGAACTAAATTCTTTGGTTGGATCATTCTTACTCTGTTGAATTGCAAATTCCAATTCTTATTTCACTTTCCGTCGGACCCAATGCAATTTACGTCTACGTGCATGCAATCTACGTAAAGTGACGCTTTGTGTCTACTATATGAGCGTCTAAATTGAGCGCTCACCATTATGCGTCGTCCCACGGTGTCCAGAGTCCACTAGTCATCCTGTCGCTGCATCTGACACTGCAATGGTCCTCGCATCCCACGTCGCCTGTAATTCACTCCCAACCGCGGTAATCTAACGGAAGTTTCACGAAAAATCCCCTTTCTCTTGAGGGATACACACCGAGTTGCGAATTGCGTATGAAATATCGCGAACTGCGTCTTCGAGGAAATGTCGGCTTTTCGGATAAACGATGAGTATGTACGACGATTCAGCAACGGTCCGATCAAGTTGTAGTATATCGCTTTAATACACGCGCGACGCGAATCGAAGGCCGATCTCACGAAATCTTTCGATGCGTAAGCGAAGTAATCAGTAGCTGCTGCGTTATTTTCTAAATTATTTCGCGCCGATTTTTAATAACGCATTGTCACTTCGCCATAATTAAGATAATTAACACGAATTGAGACGCGTAGTTCTCACGCGAGCAGGTGCTGCGAGGCTTACCATGAGGTAATTACCGCGTTTTATTTACTTTTTTACTTGTTAGTACTAATACTCGAATAATAAATGATAATGATAATAATAACTGATCGATAATTGTATAATAATATCCGCGAGTGGATAATGGCTGAATAACGATGATCGAATAATCGGTAATAACAATGAATAACAATAACTGGCGATAATAACTGAACAAAGACGACGTAAAGAAATTATCGTAATGGCATGCTCGAGTTGCTTTCCTATGCGGAATAGCAATAATTAAATAATGACCGAATAAAGAAGTAATAATACTAAAACAATAAATGGATGCTGATAATATTTGATCGGCATTGAGGAACTTGATCGCGACGTTTCTCTATCTAACAAGTAGAAAAGTAAATAAAACGCGATATAATTACCTGTCGCGGTAAAACTCACAGCACCTCCTCGCGTGAGAACTACGCATCTCAATTCGTGTTAATTATCGCTTAACTATGGCAAAGTCAAAATGCGGTATTAAAAATCGGTGCGAAATAATTTAGAAAATAACGCGGCAGCTCCCGATGTATTCGTCTCGACGATTGAGAGTGTATGACGTGACGCTCGAGCACGTGCTCACGCACGCGTGTTTACATGACATGGCCGCGCCCCCTCCTCCCTGCGTCGCTCAGTCAACGGCCCGAGCAGCCGTTACGACGGTCGGTTTACCTAGCCTTTATGAAGCTTAGAGTTTTTTTTAGAGCTGTTATCCAGATATTGTTATTACCGATTATTCAATCAGCATTATTTTGTTATTATCCACTCACGGATATTATCACACGATTGTCGAGCAGATATTATTATCACTACCATTTAATATTCGAGTATATTATTACTTCTTTATTCAGTTCTTATTTAATTTATTCCGTTATTATTTAATTATTGCTATTATGCATAGGAAAGCAACTCGGTCGTGCCGTTACGACAATTTCTTTACCTCGTCTTTAATCGCAGTTATTATCGCCGTTGCCCAATTATTGTTATTACCGATTATTCGATTATGGTTATTCCGTTATTATCCACTCGCGGATGTTATCACACGATTGTCGAGCAGATATTATTATTATTTGTCGAATTAAATTTCGACAAATTAAAGACAACAAATTAAATTATTAAGCTAAGACTCGAACCGAAACGTTTTGATTTTCCGCTAAATTATTAAGACGAAATTCGGACCCAAGTGTTTTGAGACATCGATAATTTATTAAGCCGAATTAGTTAAACTTGGGGTAATTTTTTAAAGTTTCTTAAAGAAATTTTCGCGTTTGCAAACGTGCATTTTCGAAAATAACGTGAAGTGTGCGTATTTCGCTCTGCATTGTCTTTTGTATGACAATGTGAGTCAATGTCACTCTACTCCCTCAGTAAAACGCCTAGAATCTTGAAAATAATTTTCTACTATCCCAAAGTCGCGTTCATAATGTTGGATCCAACTTAGCGTCGTAGGAAATTCGGATTCTCGGGCATGAGCCGAAAGTTGGTCCTATTACTGCAAGTTAAGTCATATAGCATTAGCATGTAGAGCACATTCTATGGTAATTTTACACAGTCTTTTAAAGTAATTTTCGCGTTTGTGAGAGTTCAATTTTGCAAAGGACATCCATGTGTGCGTATTTTGCTCTGCATCGTCTCCTGGATGACCGCGTGTGTTAATGTCACTGTTTTCCCTCAGTATCACTCCCAGAATCTTGAAAATAATTTGTCAATATCCCAAAATCGTGCCCATAACGTTAGATCCATTCATTTATATTCGAATTCTCGCACATGCGCAGTAGTATCTATTTTGCGTATGGGCCGAAAGTCGGTCATGTTACTTCAGGTTAGGTCATATACAACTTTCACAAATTTACATCAAGATTCTAAAGATTAAATAAAAATATTAACATCTCTTAATTAATTGTTGAAAAAGTAAAAGTCATACATTTTTTAAACGTTGTCCATAAATTGCTCATTGTCTATATAGATTTAATATATAATTTACGTTTTGTTTACACATAGACGTAGAATATCCTACGTGTAAATTGCCAACCCTATTTATTACTATAAACTATTATTATAAATTTTCTCTAAAGAAAGGCATTTAAGATATTTAATTGTTGCCACTTTTCCGCGATGCTGATTGATTCTCTCGCTTAGCCACTTCGTGGGCTTGCTTCGTGTCGTTTGCGCCTGTCAAATTACCAGTTGTCATCGCGTTGATTATGTCACGAAAGAAAATATAGAAGAGATATGTCTCTCCCTGTCTCTCCCTGTCTGTCCCTGCCTCTCCCTGCCTTTCCCCGTTTCTCTCAGTCTTTCCCCGTTTCTCCCCGTCTCTCCCCGTCTTTCCCCGTCTCCTTCCGTCTCTTCCCGTCTTTCCCCGTCTCTCCCCGTCCCTCCTTGTCTTTCCTTGTCTCTCCCTGTCTCTCCCTGTCTCTCCCTATCTCTCCCTATCTCTCCTTACCTCTTTCTATAATTATTAATTAATTAAAATATATTTTAATTTTATTTATTTTTTATTTAATTTTTAATTTATATTTTTTCTTGTTCTTTATTAACTAAATGACGCGCGCACTTGTATTGTTCTAGTAATATAAATGAAACATTAGAAACATTCCCGTGTCACGGAACCGCGTGAAAATCAATCCACGTTCTGGAACGATTTATCTTAATTAGTGTAATACTCATTTTTGTTTAAAACAATTAGAAATGGTAGAATATTAATAGAAATAATGTAAAAAGAGATAATAAAGAGTTATATTAATGTAGCGCCCTATCATTATTGTTTAAATTGTAAAAGCGCAAACTGTAAAGAAATGAAAGAGTTTTCTTTCTACTCACAATTGACTTTCATTCATACTGTTGAACTTTCCGATCTCTCTTCTAATATTTTCATTCCTAATTCACGATACACCTCATTTCGCTTTTTATTCCTCCATTAGGAGGTTTACGATAGATATTATTTCGTATACTGAGTATCGAGATTACGAGCGCG